ACACACACACACACACACACAAAGGGAACCCTTCAGTCAAGCAGCACCTCAGACTTTTTCAAAAAGTACACAAACACCCACCTGCATTTTAAACTCACCCAGCTTTCAACTTGTGTATTATTTAGCAGTTTATTAGGAGTGGGCTGTTTTCTCAGCGAATCAATCAATCAACCAGCCGGTTTATCAAACATGAGAAATGCCAAGGTGACATTTTCACTTCTTCTAGTTTTGGTCCAATCAATGGATCCAAAACAGTTTACGGTGAATCAAAAGCTTAATGGGGAAGAAGATGGGGACCGGGGAAAGCTGAACTTTTCTGCTTTTAAACGACTGATCTGTCACCTGATACTAGCAAATTCGTTTTATTTTGATACTCGCCCATTTATTTTAGCTGTCACAAAAATAATCATAAAAAATAAGTTTTTTAATGTTTTCATCGTTCTGGATAAACTGAACAAGCACATTCCTCTTGTCAAAAATATAACCTGCCATTATTAGATATGCAAAGCTGCTTTTTTAGATCATTTTCTGTTGTTTGTTTTTATTTTTAATTGACAGCAGTGACATTTGATGAGCTAGCGAGGACTCTGAATGCTCATGGCAGCTTGAATGTACAGCCACCATATTACTGCCTCCAAGTAAGATATCCATAAGAAATGCACTAAGAGTCTGCAATGATGGAAAATGCCAGAATCTCAAAGTTGCACTTTAACAGAGTGCTTGAGTACTTGTTACTTTCTCCCTTTTGCTGCATCCAACATGAACTTTCACACACTTAGAGATGCACACGCACACATGCTGAGGTATATTTTCAATCAGCCCCCGCCTTAGACTTGTTTCATGCAGAAAACACCACAGAGCGTCACACAGCTTTGTGCCTCACAGGCAAAAAAACACACCCCAAAAAAAGCAGAAGATTTATGAGGAAGCAGCCTATAGGATGTGCATCCAAGGTTAATTATAATGAGGATATTCCATTCCTTTCCATCCATACATAATTAAGCCTTAATTAATTATACAGTCCTTTTGTCATCTGTTAAATTTTCAATAATTTCATAGATCTCAATGAATGGCAATGCCGGCATGATGAATATCCATTTAATGGCTATATAACACTTAGAATTAATGTAAGAGCTTCAGATTGCTTTTTACTTCCCATCGCTGGCAGTCGAATCCTGCTCTGTGTCGTGTTAGCAGTCGTCTGCATTCACTTGCATAGCGTGTCATGGTTTCCGTGTGATGACAAATAGGACGTGATTATAGATGAGGGTTGTTTTCTGTGAAAGTGCAACGCTCTAAAACTGATATAACAATGGCAGTTCCAGCGAGTCCATTTCAGAAGCAGGTAAAAATAACATGAGAGCATGTGAAATGTCATTAAAACCACACTTGCTGCAAATAAAATGATTTACTGCTGTGCTGTAACTGCACGATCATGCTTGTCTGATCGCAAAATGTGTGTGTATGTGTGTGCCCAGTGTGTGTTGGGTTAAGGGGAATCTACTGGGGGTGAAGAAGTAAGTATTCCTCACCCTGGGTGCGAAATTCATGTAGGTCTGTGATGGCTTGTGCAAATGGAGTGAGGGCACAGGCTGTGAAAACCTAATGCAATTTGATTAGAAGTTAACCGCAAAGCAATATTTTTCCTGCCTCAGTGCGCCGAGAGAAGGGGAAAAAAATAAGAGAGAGAGAACTATTTGCTTTTTTCTGTGTGACTGAAAGTGAATGAGACTGACTGATGACCAAGCCTGGAGCGTTGTGTTCAATTACAAACAATAACATGTTGGTCATAATTAGGATTTCAGGTGAGGCTGCTCAAGGACTAAACAGTGGAAGAAAACTTGTGCGAACGCTGTGCTAAAACTTCACGTCATGCTTTTTCTTTTCGGCGGAATAAATGCAGCTGAAGCTCAGGTTGATTTTGTATTCACAGGAGAGCATTTTCAGTCAGTCCCCATGACTGGAGAAAAAAATTACACACAGAATAATGAATTACAATATATCATGTCATACTGGAGGAACTGTACCAGCTCCTGCTGTCTTTTATTTGATGAAAGAATGAGCGCTCCTATTTTGACATCTTGTGAGACATCTTGTGACACAGCTCCTGCTATGAGCATGGAAACAAACAACCTTGTGTTGCTATGGACTCAGGCAATGAAAGTACACATTTCTGACATTCAGGGATGCGGCAGACAGATGATCTTTATTTATTTAGTTATTCGCTTCCCGTGCTCGCTCGTGTTGTAGATACGCACTAATTATCATAGGTTTGTTTCAAGTATAAAAATAATTAACTTCAGCTTTGTCAGAACAGTGGCAACAGCAGTAACCTGAACTGGCGGCGCGGCTCGATTTGCAGACTGAACAGGATCCCACTCGTTTACAGCCCCGCAGTAGTCACTTCTTTTTTGCGTTCCTT